GTATTTGGTAAGTCCAGACCCTAAACGTCAGTTCCATCGCAAAAACTGTGATGCAAGAGTTAAAATGTAATAGAAAATAGAAAACTGAACGGGTTGAATAATATGACCCAAACAGAATATAAAAGATATCTACACAGCACCGGGAGAAACTAAACTCAATTTTTCTGCACTCCCAGAGACTCCAAGTACACAAAATGTACTTATTGGCTTTTTATTTTTATTTATTTATTATGTTGTAGATATGCTGCTTTGCTTGAAATCATTATGTTTAAACTTGGCTAATAATAATAATAATAATAATGATACTTTTAGAACCTGCTAATGAAATCACTTTGCTCTGATATGTAAAATCAAAAACCTATAAAAGTCCAAGTTGAAAAGAAAAATTCAGCAGCACCTTCTGCATAAAGAGAATGTAGTCAATCTCATGTTCTCCCCAAATCCCGTCCGACTGGGCCTTGTAGTGGATCCTCGTTAAGTACGTCATTTCATCTGGAGGCACCTGAAGAACAGCAGAAGGACGAGGGGGGGATCAGACAGGAAGTAAAGACGCACCTCAATCCTTAATAATCCTCTTGTACCRAGTGGACTCAGCACACCTGCTCCAGAGGGATTCCCAGCTCAGCTTTGAGTCTCCTCTGAGCAGCCCTCCTCACTCCTGATGCCTCCTTCTCCTCCAGCTCGCTGAATGTGTGCAAAGGGTGACTGCAGCATGTGTTCGTGAAACAGCCTGAGCACATACAGATGAAAAAAAAAAACATATCAAACCGTTACCAACAAACGGTGGCGCTTGAGAGAAGTGCTGGTTGAAGTCTGACCTGGAAAAGTGATTTTGGCGTCGGACCTCTGCTGTAAGAGCAGCTTGTCCTCGCTGTTGAACAGGAAGACGCTGAAAGCTCGGTGCAGCAAACCTGCACAGATGARAGATTTGCTGAACTCGCGAGAGGTGAGGAAAAAAAGCACACGTGCGAGSGTGCGCGAGCTAGCTTACCTTTGTCGATGTTCGAGTTAAGGTGGCAGTTTTTCTTGGTGTCCGCGCCGATCTTCTGGTCGTTCTCGTCGATGAGGATGCACATCTCCGAGAGCAGCTGCACCTGCTTCTCATCCAGGTGGTCTGTGGTGATCTCAGGCATGCTGGCTGCAGACTGTGGGCTTCTCACCGTACTGTGGAGGCAGTGCAGGAGGACAAGGCACAGTCAGTGGCTCATTTAGTCATTTAGAGCAGTGTTTCCCAAAGTTGGGGTCGGGACCCAAAGTGGGGTCCCGAAACATTAAGGTGGGGTCCTGAAAAGATTTTCTGAATTAATTACATTTTTGCCTTATTTGTTACAAAGTAGTGATGTTAGT